TAGTGAATGGAACAATTCATGTTTTTTCTTTAACTGAGGATATCAAAAATCAAATAGGATGGGTTGCAAAAGGAATAGGAAGTCTTAAATGGTGGTTTGGAGTTGAAAATAATGTATCTGATTATGCCTCATTAATTATTCATGATATTTTACCTAAAACACAAACTGAATTATATTTCCTTCAAAGTGATTATTATAAAATTGGATGTTTGTTACTTTTATTATTATTTTTGTATTATTATTATTATTTACAAATGATTTATTTTAAATAGTATTTGGTTTAAATGGTGAATATTATGAAAGTCAATTATCATTAGAAAATCAACAATTAGTTAATGATATGTCTGCTCAAATTGAAACAATCGAATTAAATTAAAAAAGAAAATTAATATTTTTTTTTTAAATAATTTAATTATCAATCATTTTTGTCTCAATACATCATTGCTCTTTTCTCTTTTTGTTGTTTAAATGAATCAATCAAAGAGATTGGTACTGAATTCCCAACTACTTTTAAAAATTCATTTACTTCATTATTAAACCCATCAATACCTTTCATCCATGCATATTCTAGGAATAATGCTAGACATCTTAATAATTGTTTTTCATTTGAGTTAGTATAAAATAACATAACTTCAAAAGTAATTTCAAATCTATGAAGTTTTGTTGAAAGAATTAATAAATTTTCAATAGAAACTATTTTTTGACATAATTCATTCATTATACTTAATATTTTATATGCTTTTAATAATTCTTGTTGAGTTTGTATTCCAATAATCATACTAAGACTCATTGCTTCTACAATTAATCTTAATCTAATACAAATATCATTTGGTTGTTTCATTTTTATATCTTCTTCTTCAATTTTAATTTTTATTAAATAAATATCTTCAACACATAATTTTAAAATACATTTAATTGCTTCTTCATACATCCCTTTCTTAACATACCATCTCCATAAAATTTCTGGCCAATATTGTTTTAAATAATTCTTAATTTCATTTGATGATAAATTAATAATAATATCAATTTGATTATTTTCATTTAAAATATCATATAATACTTTTTCTGCTTCTA